CCGCCCCCCGCGCACCCCCGGACCGCGCACCGCCCCCCGTGCACCGCCCGCGCACCGCGCACCGCGCTCAGCGCACCGAGCCTGGGCCCCGCGCAGCGCCTGCTGCTTGCCCTGGGCACGGGTTCCTGCTGCCCCGGGCAGCGGCTCCTGCCTGCCCCCGGCACTAGTTCTTGCTGGCTCCAGGCACCGGCTCCTGCTGTCCCGGGCACGGGTTCCTGCTGTCCCTGGCACCGGCTCCTGCTGCCCCGGGCAGCGGCTGCTGCGGGCTCCAGCTCGCACGCACACCTAGGCTGGCTCCGGTGTGCCCCGAGCCCTCCCAGCCTGGCAGCCCCGGGCAGCGCCCGGCTCCAGGTGAGCCCTAGCGAGGCCGCGGTTCATTCTCGTGCCAGTGACAGAAGTAACATCCCCACTCCCCGAAGCTGCCCCTGGATGCTCCCAGGCTGGAGGAGTTTCTTGTGCCTACACCCTCTTTGCCTGCCCTCCCGAAAGCAAGGGTCTTTGGGGCTGGGTGGCTGTCCCGAAGCACCCTGTAGAATCATCCCTGTGGTATCACCCCTGTGCTACCAGCCCTGCACAGGCAGCTCTGGCTCCTGCTGCTCTGCCCAGCTCTGGGCCACTTCACACCCATGGCACTGAGGAACACTGAGGTGTTATCTCTGTAATCCATTTGTGTTACCTGTGTAATCTGTCTGTGTTATCTATCTGTGTTAACTGTGTTATCTGTGTTGTATATGTTATCTACCTGTGTCATCTATGTTCCCAGTGTTATCTGTCTGTGTTATCTATCTTTGCTATCTATCTGTGTTACCTGTGTTATCTATCTGTGTTATCTGTGTTGTCAGTGTTATCTGTCTGCTTTATCTGTGTCATCCTTTTCTCAGCTGGTTACCAGAGCAGAGTCTGGCCTGTTGTGTCCAGTGTTTTAAGAGAGCAGAAAGGAAGAAAAACAGATTCCGTGTTTCTGCCACTTTCTTTGGCACACTGGTGAGAGGCTGCAGGCACAGGGGATGTGGGGCCTGTCCACCCTGTGCTGGAGCGGAGGGCAGTGAGCTCAGCCTCTCTGCACTGATGTGCTGTGGACAGCCCAGGTCAGCCCCAAGGAGCAGGGAAATTAGCTGTGGTAGGAGGCAGAGC